ACTAATATTGACAGTTGTCAGTATGGGTCGGATTCTAATAATATTTTAATTTAACAGGGAATGTTACCACATTGTCCTTGCGGATTACTTACGTATCGTGCACTAGATCAGCGACCACGAATGTGGCCTTTTATTTACCCTGTACGCTGTTAAGTGTGGAACCGCGAGATCCCCGTTGAGGGACAACACCGCGTCCCCGCACCTAACAGCCTAGCCGGGGCTTCACGGCAGGTATCACCCGGGGTATTTCGGCTGATCCCGCAGACGTGCGTAGGACTGCCCGCGTTGAGAGCTAAGTGCGCGGCCTATTATCCACCGCAACGCTCCCTGTCCGCCGCAGAAGAGCTGCCTCGTTGGCGTTCACCTCGCAGGCCTTACCGCATCCCTCTCATGTAGGATAGAACTACAAAAGAGGGCTGCCGTCACGGAATCCGTCAATAACCGATGTCAGCCACCGACGTATATTGGCTGCACTGGCTTATACTGGCTAACTTATCGTATCTTCTGCGGCTAAGGTTGCGGCCGCGATCACGACTAGTTCGCGTTTATTTTTTTACATTATTGCATTACAATACTAATTATTAAACAAAATAATCATTGTACTCACTACCATGCATTAGAAACTGGCAGAGATCTGAAGAGGTCTAATTTTGGCCATTAGGCGACTGCTAATTATAATAATAATATTAGCGTATAATAAATCCTATTTGATGTTTGGACCGAGCGACTTTTTCCATTAAAAATGTTATCTTTAGATTTAAAAATCTATCAGGTTTTTGCTTAAAATAACAATTTAGTAAAATATAGGGCTATTATTTTGATTATAAGTCTTGGTCTAAGACAAGTTGAAGTAAAAAATAGTAACCCTCGGTTTTCTTTCGCTCCTAGCTTAACAAGGTGTGTATGTGTAAAACGTGCAATTTAAGCGGCTTCTTCAACTTAATTTTCCATTTCACAATCGTAACACAAATTATACATATCGCTTGACAAACAAAAGGAAAGTCTATAACGTCGGCTGTCTTCGTGTGGATATAAAATTTTACATTTGCTACGAAATAAACCCGAGCATATGTAACAGCAATGCTATTCTGTAAACTTTTTACATCAGCTTCGGATCCGCGCGGATCTATATCGGAACCGCGCGGATCCACACCGGATCCACGCGTGAAAATTTTACAGAATAGCCCCGCTGAACACCATTTGCGGTTTTTGGATTTAATTTTTTGAGTTAGTCATGTTGTGCATCGGTAAGGTACAGACGGGTAAGCTATGCCGCGATTAAACTTGGTCGTGAGCCCGAATACGAGTATCAATGGAATTCGGGTAAACGACTAAGTGTAAACGAACGGAGTCGAGTACGCCCCTATTCGGGTAGATTTCCTTTTGTTTACCCAACACCGTTTTCCAGTCCGTATTCAAGTGTAAATATTGTTTCGGGTGCCCGAATCCGAGTCTTTGGTGCACCCCAATACGGGCTAACGCACAAATGTAATTGCGGCCTTAGGGTATTTAAGTAATTGGTTCACAAAACAAAAAATAAGTTGCTAAGTCACGCGCGATCGTCGGGGGCGCGGATTGTAAACGTTTTTTTTATTGTATCCTTTTTTCTCGTGTTATTAGGGTATGTACCGAATGAATCAACAGTCCTCTTGTGGCAATGAAAAATTTTCGCACACCGAGTTTTCCGTTCTGGCTTTTATACGCGTCTGGATGCTGAATAATAAATGATGGCATTGTTCTGGTTACTCATGCATGAAGGGTTTGTAGACATATGCTCAAGTAGGGTGACGGCAAACAACTTGATTACGATCGTTCCTACTGGAGACGAAGTGTAGGTACCTTTCTAGTGTAGAAATATATAAAAAGATGATATGTTTAGTAATTTACAAAAAGAACATTCAAATCCTTTTTAAAACATAGGGCTTTGGTTTTTTCGTATATGATGCTATCCGGAAATGTAATGATCCGTTCTCGGAGGTATTATACGATAGTTTTACTCTAAAGCGAGTAAAAATCAACGCGAGGACCGCGAAAGTCACAACTCGAAAGCTCGTTTGAAGACCGCGCCAGTTGGGTCTTTAATCATGCGTGCGAAAGTCAAAAATAGTCCTTTTCTTTCCCGCCCAGTTCATCATGAGCCTTTTCTACTACCCTTTTAGAGAAAGAACCAAAATCTATGCCCGTTGTTGCATTAAATAGTGATAAGCTTCAGAGTAACTGCACACTCGACGTGTACCAATGACGTGAATAGAACGGATGACGTCACTAACATCTCGCGTCCGAACGGCATTAGCACATGCAAGAGCCGCCAGAACAATGCACTCGGAGTGCCGGAGTCCACTCACCTCTGCGGTATTCGGCTGCAGCTGCAGTACAGTGACCCCGTGCGTACGCGAGGGACGGAGATTGCGGGGGGGAGGGGGGATAACTAGGTCACGGCCCCCTCCACTCTACCCCGCCCGGCACCGCACCGATCGACCGCCAAAATTTTAACGCATTCGCAAAGGAATGGTTTCCTTAAACTGTTACCCGCCCGTTTAAGTAGGTCATTGTCATAAAGTGATCGATGTCCCCGTTCTAAAGTTTGGTCAGTGACAAAAGGGGGAGATTTTAAAGCTGCCTTTTATCTGTGTGATCAGTTCCACCCTGAATTCCTGATATATCGACTGTTCTCTGTTTTAAGGCAGGGCGATAATTTTTCTAACTTCTCTGTAACATGCACAAAGTCATGTCTTGTTACACCCTGAATATAATATTTATGAATATTTCTATCGCTGGATTGTAGATACATAAATAAAGGTAGTGTTTTCTGCTACAGCTATATAAGGATTTCGAAAACTACCCATTGATTTAGCTAAATTAATCATCACTATGATCAGATCTTTGGACGTATTAGGGTTAATGGGCCACCCACAACCAACAACGCAGGTCTAGAGTGGGCTGCTGGAAGTTAAATGACTTCAGATGCAGCCGGGACCAATGTCTTAGCATATGCTAAGAACCGAAACACGGAAAAGGTCCAGATTTGGCAATCTATCTTATGAATGGCCATTGCAAAAGTAGTTTAACTTTCTCGATCGCTGATTGGTCATAAAAACTATGCTGGAGTATTACGATTGCAGGTGGAAAGTATGCCACTACGCCATAGAGTTCTCCTCACTTTAAATTGGTCTGTATATCTTTGACTGCCACGAGAATAGGATGAATTTGGCGCTAATTACCGGTCTTTTTTAGGGTTCCGTAGCTCAAAAGGAAAAAAACGGAACCCTTATAGGATCACTTTGTTGTCCGTCCGTCTGTCAAGACCGTTTTTCTCAGGAACACGTGGAGGTATCAAACTGAAATTCATATCTAATACTCATGTCTGTGCCTTGTCTGTCCCTTGGCGCTGTGAAAAAATCAAACTTCTAAGCTAAAGCAATCAAAAGATGCAGCCGTTTATGCCGCTGATTTCCGCAAATTTTCAAAACTCGAACGTGAATCAAAATCTACAGGGTACTTCCCGTGAACTTAGAATCTTGAAATTTGTTACGAAGTATCGACTTATAGTAACAGATAAAGGAAAAATTTCGAATCTGTAAATTTTTTGTAACATCATATAATAATAGTTATTTATTATACAAGAGTGGAAAGTTCCTTTTTAACCGCGTGCTCGATTTGGATGACCGAGCAAGCGAAGGATTCTAAAGTTGAATCACGAGCGCAGCGAGTGATTCTAAATTAGAATCCTGAGCGTCAGCGAGGGAAACAAACGAGCACAAGGTGAAAAATCTTTCCACTCGAGTGCAATACGTAACTTTTCATCCCACCTCAGCGAGGAAATGACAAAATGAAAAAGAAAACAATTTATAATGACAAAATATTTAAGCAATAAAACGTGAAAAACTAGAATGGCGCGAAGCACGCAAATAAAACAAAGAAACCAAGAAGGTTCCAAATTTAAATTTTTTCACAATTTAAAAAGTTCTAATCATAAATTTGGCACCATAGAGGTTACATTAAATAGGTTTAATGACGTTTTGAATTTACAATTATATTGAGTACTCATTATATGTGATGTTCTAAATTCAAATCTACTTTGCCGCTCAAGCGAATAAAATAGAATTTTCCAGCCAGATTTCGAAGCGCAAAATTACACTTTCCGAGGTGGTGGGATGAAAAAAATATCTTTGAATATTTCCAAGTTACTACCTCGTTTCTCATGAACGCGTAGAGGTATTAAATTGAGTTTGTACGGAACCCTCGGTGCGCGAGTTCGATTCGCACTTGGCCGGTTTTTTTTAGTTAAAACACGGCTTCTAGGCATTATAACTCTATGACGATACTATTTAAAAAGGTGATGTCGTTTTTTTTTTCTTATAAAATTGTCATTGATACAAACCATGAGACTTGACAAAAAGATAGCATATTTACTATACCCAGTATAGAGTTTTTTCAAAAGACTGATGATATTAGCTGTTCAATCCTACAAACGACATGAACCAGGCAAAACAGAAATCGGAACTGTTGGAAATTGAAACCTCATTATTAGCCAATGTACGCGCTTCGTCCCCTTTAAAGCTCGAATAACCTTTGCGTTTGATCGGAGCCCGTATGAACGCGCTCGGTCCAATTGGACTTGAAAATGGGATGTGACGATATTGCTCCGGGCGCGGTGCGGGAAAACATCGGAAATTATCCGTCCGATTTTACTTTGAAAACTAATTATAATTTGAATGCGACTGCTTCGTGTTTGATTGATAATGGGATCCTGTTGATATGAAAATAGATAAATTGTAACTTACGAATACACTTTTGATACGTATACGTTTTGTATCTGCATAAAAATAATTAAATTCATTTAGCTCTCAGACCTGTAAGAAAAGGAGTATCTTTTCCAAATGTTTTTTTTACTGTATATCTGTAATAATATTTTAGTGTAATATAACTTCATAGTACAGCAATGGGTACTTGGATAAGACGAAGATGTGATATTTAAAATGTTCCTTATTTGTTGACAGGAGAATGGCCGCGCGGCGCCGGACCTGACGGCGTCGCCAGGCCGCGCGCCGCCCGGCCTGCCGCAGCCGCCGCGCGCCAACCACGCGCCCCCCTGCGTGCTGCAGCCAGACTTCCGAAAGGTAACCAACTTGACATCAGTGTATAATGCTCGCGTCGAACCCGACGGCGTGACTGCGCGCCGCCCGGCCTACCGTAGCTGCCGCGCACCAAACACGCGCCCCCCTGTGTGCTGCAGCCAGACTCGCTCCTGCTCTACGTTAGCAGTACATGTAGACTCTGGTCTTTTGGATAGAGTCTACGTGTCCCTCTTCAGATTCCACACCGGCGACGTTGAGTCAACTCGACTATTTGACCATCTTAGTCGGGCAGCAGATGATGCCCAGGCACAATTTCCCAGCACAGAACTGGTGCTTTTGGGGGCTTTAACACCTACCACGGTTTGTGATTGGGCTCCTCCGAAACTGATCATGCAGGATCTCTGCCCATGCATTCGCTCTCACGCATGACTTGACACAATTAGTCGATCAGCCCACCAGGATCCCAGATATAACAAGTCAGGCGCCTTCTTTACTAGACTTTCTGCTTACGACTCATCCGCAGGAGTACCTATCGGGTTATGGTTCGAGCCCCACTGGTTTCATCAGATCATTGCCTGATATCTGCCAAGTTGCCACAGGCTAAAACCACACCACCATTGGTGGTCAAACAAAGGGTCTGGGCAGATTGGGATGGAATGTGCGACTACTTTGTGTCCGTCCTTTGGGAGCAGCGCTGCTTTAGTGAAAAGGACCTATCGGTCAGCGCCGTCGCTATTACTGAGGAGATCGTAATGGGAATGGAACATTCCACATTCTGATTTCATCAGTATGGGCACACGTAACCGCTGGTACAATTGCGACTGTGCTGATGTTGTTTCATGTAAGCAGGCTGCATATCGCGCTTTGGATCAGAGGCCGCGCTCTCAAGGATCTTGGTGTTGACTCACTGAAAGCTGCCTGTATTTGTGCTTCCAAGTCTTGCAAGAAGGCTTACATCAGAGCGGATGCCCAACGTGTTGCACGTACTGGCCACGAATTGTTAACGCACCCTATTGGCTCCCGTAGTTTTTGGCGTTTGGGTAAGGCCATGTAGCACAACTTCTGCTAGCCCTAGCTGCCACCTCTGCGGTATCCAGATGGGTCACTAGCTCATAAGCCGTAGGAGAAAGCAGATTTATTGGCAAAGCTCTTTGCGGCTAACTCCCGAATCGAACATTGCAATGCACTACCACCTACAATACATCATTGTGGCACTATGATGCCTGATATAAAAAATCAGGCAGCATGATGTTCGTGCGGGGTTGTAATCACTCGACGTCCAGAAAGCTAGTGGACCCGATGACATCCCAGCAGTTGTACTGAAACATTGTGCAGCGGAGTTGCCTCCCGTGCTTACGCGCTTGTACCAACTCTCGTACTCTTTGGGGCGTGTGCCGGAGACTTGGAGGGATGCCAATGTGCAACCGGTGCCCAAAATGGGGACCCCTCACACCCAGCCAACTATCGGCCGATAGCTGTCACCTCAGTGTTGTGTAAAGTCTTAGAAAGGGTCCTTAACAACCATCTGACCCGCTACCTAGAAGATTACTCTCTGATTCACGATCGTCAATACGGATTTAGGCCGATCCGATCGATGAGTGACCTTCTAGCGTACGTGACACACAGCTGCGGTGAAGACAAGCGGGGAGAGTCTCTAGCTATCAGCCTTGACATCGCCAAGCGCCGCCTGCGTTTTGCAGCCAGACTTCCGAAAGCCAAGCTAGCACTAGTCCTCAATGCTGGGACCATACTAACGCTTCAATGCAGAACGATCGTTTTACGCGAATCAAAAAAAAGTATAGGAGCAAAATCAATTCAGTATCCCCCAAGATAACTTCCTACAAACTTCTTAATAAACGAAAAATAAGTTTGGGTTAGTTACTCCATGTTCTGTCTTTGTTCATTGAATAACAAATGGCACTTGAGTGATATGAACAAAAGACGGCGTAACTAGTCTAAGCCCATTCCTTATTTATTAATAGGGGGAATAAACTTTACCTCTTTTTGTCCTCAAAGAGGAATTGTTGTGTTAAATAGACTTTCGTGAGTAGTTTTGAAAAATTATCAATTGACTAATTATGTCCCCGTGTAAAATACTCATACTAGAATACGATAGTTTGACGATAGTACTTAATTTTTATTTTGTCCTAATTTATATAAATTACGCGTCACGTTGTTTGTCCGGGATGGACTCCTTAACTGCTTAACCGATTTTAATCAAATTTGCACACAGTGTTCAGTTTGATCCAACTTGAAACATGGATAGCTTATATTTATAGTCGCAATATTATTTTATTGGAAATGATTACTTTTTGGCGGTACGAAGATCGCCGAGTCAGCTAGTTTTATTATATTTTTAGCACGAAACTGCTAGATATATAAATGTAATCCCGTCCGAAACCTGGATCGAGGAAATTATTACTATTTTTTATTATTATTTATTGTTAAAAAGTCGTCTCGTGAATTTTCAACTTAAAAGTTTTCAGTTTAAACTAATAGGTATTTACACTGTATCATAAGGATGATTTTCTTTTTGTCCAGGTGTCAGGTGTTAGCAATGAAATCTTCAGACAGATTGAAATGGTTGAGAATGATCACGACTCGACCACAGCCGCGGCGCTCGAGGTGAGTGCAATAACCTTCAACGGATTTCCTTTCAAGCAAAAAAGTTCTCTTGGATATTTAATTAAAGATCAAAGGCAGTCTTGGGGTAATATCTTTCGCTGAAATACAGAGGGCACTCAGTTTACATTATATTAGGTGTTTATAGATGTTGAACTTGGTTATATATTATAATACTTATATAAAAATGTTCTCATCATATTCCTTGAGGGGTAGGGAGAGTATCAAAGATAATATGATATATCTTGGTGTTATATCAAATACACAGTTAATATAGCTATTATAGACGTCATTCGTTGTCGAGTGGCTTGCACGCTGGTTTTCATGGATCTATGGTGCCGACCGAACCAGAAGCGAAACTACCGAAGCCAGGGCTATACCTACAAATATACCCAATACTGTTCATATGACGGCATTTTGCATGTCACATCTGTGGTGTTTCATAGGCTTCCAGGCTTCTAAAGACTGTGGAACGCGCTTATAATTAAGTAGACCGTATGTTCGCTTTGACCCTAAAAAACACACTTTAAGGTAATTTTGTCTCTCTTCTCTTAAGTCCATTTTTTTATGTTAAAAAGGTGGCAATCAAGCGTATGGCTCGCCTGATGGTAAGCGGCCAATATAGTTTAAAGAGGCTTACGAAACAAAGAATTTAATTCGTACAGTTGCCTACCCTGACCTCATCCCCTACCTCGTGGAGTCCTGGAACCTTACTCACTGACAGAAATACAACACAACCAAAAGATAGTGTTATTTTACTGTGTCCTTTTGCAAGAGGGAGGTTACTTCCCCAGACGGGCGCTCCAATTCGTGTGGAAAATCCTCAATGCCCTACCTCTGTCAAACCACTTGTGTCAAAGTTCTTAAAAAAAAGTCTAAAATTAGATCTATTTCTTTTCGATGAAAAACGGTTGACAAATATAGCATGATTTGTTTAAACAGTATTGCAAATTGTTTTAAACTTTCATGGTCACCAACATTATAGTAATATAAGTTATTTACGGGATTGTTACCATGTACCTTGTTTTTAGGGAAATATCTTATATTAATATAATGAAATAAGAATGTGCAAGTGGACCTCAGGAGTAGGGGATGGTATTTCTCTTTATTTTTAACATACATAAGTCCTTTAGGTTTATTTAAAACGTCGTAGAATGAGGTTTAATTAAATAAATGACATGGTGTTATGTTCCAGGCGGTGGAGCGTCGCGGCGAGATGATCGTTCGGATCCTTGAGTTGAGACAAGTGGGCCGCAACAATATTGAAGCCGCCAAGAAATTTTTCTCTTTACAGGTTGGTGGTACTTTTTAATTTCCTCCAGTATGTAGACCGTCCTTTAAAAGGAGGTTGTCAAAAAAAAACCTGTGTGTCCGCAACCTTTTTTTCATTTTTAAGCAGCTTGAGCGATTTTGAGTATCTTATGTCGAGTTGGTGAATAACCCCATCATAGTACATTTATATAATAATATGTTATATTACTGACGTAATAAAATGATAGCTGAAACTTGTAGGTATTGTACTTTATAATTATGGTACACCCACTTGGGTTTACTGTAGTGGGTGGCGAGTCATGTTTCATTTTACTTCATGAACTATGATTTCAGCGACTAAAGAAGGCCAAAGAACATTGCTCTTTTTCCCATCCCATACTCGTACTTAGGACTGTTGGAACAGAAAACGGAAACTTTGCTAAAGTAATATTTAAAATAGGTATCAGTATTATAATAGCATCTACGTATATATAATATCATCTCATCAATAATATCAATAATCATATTAAATCATCATTAAAAAATACAAAGTAAATAAAAAAAAATGTGGTTTAATGATGAAAATTTTTAGGTGTATTAAAAAATTGTAGCCTCATTTTTTTCTGGCTTTATGAAAGGAGGAAAATAAAAATGTCTCCTCGGCTGGGATCAAAACCGGGCGGTCCGCGTAGCAGTTGAACATTCTTCCACTAAACCACCAATGTTAGTTAATAAGGTCTGAATTTTCAATAACAATTAAAATGTAACGCGCCATGTTAAAATAATAAAAAAATGTGTTGGCGTTGTAATAAAAGTTTCACTATAAATAGTGTTTTTCAGAAATGGACTATGAATAAAGTAAAATACTTAGTACTTTCATTCCAGTCGTAATACGTTCCCAGATAAGTCCCCCCTTCTTCATGGAAGCCAATTAGCCAACTCACCATCCTAGCCACTAGACGTTCAATAGAAATGAAATGGCAATCACTGCCCGTACATCGGATACATATTACGCTGCTCTTAAAACAGGTAATTTCCCCCGCTCCATTGACCCGGATAAAACTCGTAACCTAGTACGGAACCTGAAAGAACCTACTCCAGCGAACCCCATTGTTCGCCGACGGTGTCCCATATACTGCGGAATGTGAACGCAATCTAGTCTAACGTTGTTGGAATTCGCCACCCACTACGGCTATGTGATATTGCGATGCGAGCTAGAATCTTATAATTTGTGTCACTGAGACCAAGAATATTTATGTTTAATGTGGAACGAGAACACACTTTCTTTATCCTATGATAAGAGTATTTTGTTGAATTTAACTATAATCAGTGCCGTCTTTGACCTATTGGGGCCCCTATGACTTCCGTTTGATGATTTAACAGGAACTAGGGACTTTGTATTTGATATGAGGGGGTCCCCTATCGATCGCGGGGCCCTGGGCACTTGCCTAAAGTGCCCACTGAGAAAGACGGGTCTGACTATAATGAAAATATCTTGGAGGAGCTCGATGGTGCAAGTGGTTAGCGCGTTCGGCTGCAATCGTTGAAGTCAAGCAACTATCGCAGTGGTCGGTTGGATGGCGACCAAAAATTTACCATCTCGAGCTCCTCCGTGCTTCGGAAGGCACGATAAGCCGTTGGTCGCGGCTGCATCTGCAGTCGTTAGCACTCACCAATCCGCACTGGGCCTATATAAAATATCTTATGATGGTAAGTAACTTAAGAAATTGTGTTTTACAATCAGAATCAGTAAAGTTTAATACATCATCATCAGCCTAATAATGTCCCCACTGCTGCGGTACAGCTCTTCTCTATGGATGGAACAGAAAGGAACGTCTACTCACCACACGGCTACAATGCGGCTTAATTGGTACTAACTGCAGATGCAGCCGGAACCAACAGCTTAACGTGCTAACCGAAGCATGGAATAACTCATGCGCCACCGAGATCTTATTCGACTATAATTATTAACATATACCTAATAGAATTTTATTAATAAGGTGCTTATCGTGATAATATGGAAATGTCATCGTATTTCAAACGATGTTACCATTTTTTTTCTGGTTTTCATAAAGCTAAGACCAGACTATAAAGATGCTCGCTAAGTGTCAAGTTTAGAGAAACTAGAAGCTATGCGAGTCACCTACATATACGCGCCGCGCCTTTGTACAATACGTCTGTTCACTAAGATTGAAGTAAATATTAAGCAAGTAACTTGGCTCTCAGAAAGATCAGAACATAACACCCCTAATGTTGTCATGTCTTTTTCTATAAATTGATTGTCATTTATTATTTTTTACAGGACGCACGTCACGTGGTCCAGCTGGTTGAGATCGTGAAGCGACCGGGCCAGACCCTCGGCTTGTACATTAGGGAAGGTGATGGAGGTGCGAGGACGGACGGGGTTTTTATCTCAAGGATAGCACTGGAGTCTGCCGTCTACAACAGTGGATGCCTGAAGGTATCAGTAGCATAGGTTTTTATGTTATTTATGGGCTTGCGAGAGTATTCAAGTTGCGAGAGAACTAATGAGCTTGGCCGACGTATCTTGGCTGGTTGGTTTGAAAATTCAATGCGCAGTCAAATAACTAACTTCAAACCTAACAAGATACTTTTGTAGGCTGTCTTCAAATCTTATATGATACTTCAAAGACGCTACATTCGATATTGGTTTAGGTCAAACTTTGTCTAGAAACAATAGCTGCTTGCAATATTTTCAAAAGTATCCAATTCCTTAAAAGGTTAATGGGGGATTTAGTTTCTTATTCCTTCTTCTAAATGCTAACAACGATCACTAATTCATTACGTATTATTTTATGTCTTATTTTAATTTCTTCTAAAGTAAAATTGTATTAAGGCGCAAAAACAACTGTTTAGTTTGGTCTTTTGGTCTAAAGGAGCGTTAAATGTTTACTTGTAATATTTCCTCAAGGTGGGCGACGAGATCCTTGCCGTCAACTTGGTCGACGTGAGGAGGATGTCGCTGGACGACGTCGTCATCATCATGTCGATACCAAGGAGGTTATTGTTATGCACTCGCCAAAGGAAAGGTAATTGATATTAAAGTGCTTCCTTCAGCTGTAGTTAAAATTTCTGGATTGAACTAATTTTATCAACAAAAAATTTATGCGGTATTCGTAAAGAATTATGTTATCAGAAAGCCCAACTAAAGTCTACATACTTAAATTCCCGTTAACATTTATGACATTTAAAACAATTTTTATAAACATCTGTTATAAAGTAACTACATTTTCAATTGAGTGTGGGACCAAACTGTTCAATCTGCCAAGTAGCGACTTTTATATCTATCGCATCAGCTATGATTCTATCAGTTTTTACTTAAATGAACTGAATGAACTCGACATCAAATATTGTATATTATTTGCTTGTCATTGCTATAGGAAAATCAGGCCCCGGTTCACCTTCATTGCCACGGTCTGAACACAAGCCGCCACCCGTAGTAGTCCTGAAAAGGGACTGTCGGGATGATGACGACATGCGAGACATGAGGGATCGGGAGAGGGACAGAGTGGACGGACTCTATTCGCAGTAAGTTTCAACATTAAAAGGGGGAGACAAGTTTAATACAACATTCAGGGTCATTTGCACCAACATTCGTAATTCAAATTTAATTTTAATCCAGTGTAGCACTTCACTCCATTCTTGTCAACTATTTGAATTCAAAAGGGCATTCCATCTCTTTGAGGTTAAGACATGTTTGGTGCAATATTGAATGTTCATGTTCATGTTCCAGACTCTCAGACTTAAGGCGTAAGCTTGAAGACATTTTATGTCCTCTAAATTATTTAAGCAGAATCTAAATATAATGCAGCCTTTGTCTCTAACGTGGTGCGATATTTTTTTGATTTCGTGTCATGGAATGAGAAGTTTGACTTTTCTTGAGGTCGCGCTTCGCAATCAATAATCAGTTAAAGTAATAATCAGTTAACCATCAACTTTAGCTGCACATTCTAAATAGTTCCCGAATGAGGAAGCGCTTATTAAACACAATCCGCCTTATTCCAAAACGCAGACTAAACTAAGTCTTGGTTTAAGCCTAATGATGCTGTCTTTGTCTTCTTTTTAGCAAACGAAAGTGACAGCATCAGTTTTATTTCAGGTTTTACTTTAGTCTACGTTTTGTAATAAGGTGGAATATTATTATAATTGTTAAATACTTATATAAATTGTAAATATATGGGAATAAAATAAGAACAATTATGAAGAGCTTTTGATAAAACTCCAAACTACTTCTTTTCTAGGCATGGCACGCTCAGATCTACTGGAGGGCCCGGGTCAAGCATTAGACCGGTAGGAGACGGCAGGGAAGAGCGAAGTCGCCTCCAACTCGGGGCTCTGTCGCCAGACTCCAATGCGCTCGACCTTTACTACAACCATAGGCCGCCGTCGGATCACTCCACTTGGAGGTACACGCAAACAAAGTATGAATTCATTTCCGTTGGAACTAGCAGCTTGTTAAATGCTATTTAAGAATCTATACCCAAAGTACAGACAAGTAGAGATAAATTATTTGTATAGCCATCGTTAAAGGACGCTCCTCCTCTTTTGTATTTGTACTTATGTCTGGCAGAGGCGCTGTTTAGTTTCCATAGAACTTTGACGATGGCGGATATGAATACTTTTCCGACAGTTGTTTGTGCTTGGGGTATTGTAGATATGTAGATAAACAAATTTCTTGCATGAAACTTTTACCAATAGGAATGCTTTGGCGAATTGATGATAAACTTAACTTTGTGACGGTGTAATGCCAATAGTAAACGCCAAAATTATTGTATCACGCTCTATAATTTAGATTAGCTATCTTGAATTTTTGTTCTAACACAATTATTGTTTTCAGAGTAACATAGATTTGTTTATTGTTGCAGTTACCGACCGCCACCTCCGGTTATCACGGAACAGCCAAAGTCACAAGCAACACATTTTGTGCCATATGAACGGTCTTACCCCAATACACTCGAGAGCTTAGCGGAGAAAGTGCACTCTTTGTATCCTGCGGATAGTGGAAGGTAAGAATTTCATTTCTTTTCTGTATTTGATGGAATTTATTTTATTATGCATAAGGATTTTAGATGTTTTATCCAATGGAAGACTAATTCTACTCTATAAATTACAGTTGTTTTATTCAGTATTTTATCTTTTAGCACTCGTTTTGGAGGACGCGTTCCACGCTCAGGCTCTGAACAACAGCTTCCAAGAGCTGAGACACATTCTGATTTCGGTAGACATTCGTTGCTCAGATCTAGTTTGAAAGCATCAGCCGCCACTGGAAGCGGTGGTAAGTTTAGTCCCAAAAATACGTATATCATGCTCAATTGAAGATTATTATCTAATTCTGTAAACTTTTTTCACAGCAAGCTTATCAAGATATAATCAGAGATATGGTGGAGTTGGTATGCCTGGTAGTGGGTTATCAGGACCTGGACTTACAAGTAGTGGTCTAGGAGGAACAGGATTAGGAGGGCCTGGGTTACCTTCAGGTCTTTCCACCACAGGTCTCAGTGGTTTAACGAGCTCAAGCCTTGTTGGCTCTGGATTGACAAGTTCTGGCTTAGGGAGCGGTTTAAGTGGTACTGGTTTAGGCCCATCGCTTGGTGGAGGTTACGGCACAACTGGACTAGGATTACCAACATACAGTACGAAATTCGGAACGGCGAGACGAAACCGGAGCTTAGATTACTCATCAGATACGGAAGCCACGGCTCCAACAAGAACTCCTTATTACTCTGGCTTAAGCGGCTACAGAAGCAGTACGATGGGAAGGGATATTGGATCAAAGTTTAATTCACTACCAAGAGACGTGAGAAATACCGGACAGAGGTGATTGCTTTTGTTTTTAGTAACATGAACATTTATTAAATCGAGGTTTATATTTAATTCAAACATCTTTCACGTTTTTAGATTGGGTTTGAGTGGTCGGCGGGCTGGAAGCGTTCTCCAAGATGAGCCGGAACCGTTGTCTTCGCGGTTAGACTTGAGATCTTCCAGAGGTGAGTTCGATAAATCAAATTGTGAGATAATTTTGATTTTATAACTGTCTAATTATCATGTTATCTTAATCTCTTTTGTATCAGGCCGTCTCACATCTTCTCCTTCAGTATTCACGTCAGATGAATATCGTGCTTGGCTATCACGTGCTCCGTCGACCAGTGCACTCTATGAGACATTACGTCCTCGATTACCCACACACTATTCTGCTGAGAACATACACGACGCACTCAAAAATGTAAGTTTAATTTTAATATAGTGTATTTTTTTACATCTGCAACATTTCCACTAATTCAGTTATGTTTTCATTCATTTCAATATGTATTTATATTTTGTTTGGATATTTTAATTTCTATTCATAAATTCCATTTAAACTAACGAGAAAGAGAATTATTTCACGTAAAATAGTAGGATATGGTTTTCAGGGTTTTTTAAATTTATTTATTGGGTAAAAAGTGGGTTCTTCTGGTGAATTAATTAATCTAGATCACCAATCTAGTAGTTTCTTACACTAGGTACTACTAATGTTAGGAATTGAGAAATCTACATAAAAAAGAAGTTCCTAGTCACTGTGGTTCGTTCTGGGATCGTGAAGTAAAATTTAAGAGACTATTGCAATGGTATGTTTTAGGATGGGCGACAATAAGTTTAATTCGATCTCCTCCGTGCTTCGAAATGCATGTCAAGCCGTTGGTCCTCGTCAGCACCTTTATTTTTTTTCGATGACGGGGAGACATGCATTATATCCACGAAAATGACCAACGCCGCGTTGGTTTGCCGGTCACACCCTTTGTGACGCAGGTAATTGCGTGGTGCATTCGGCCAGCGACGAGCGGCCCGAGGGCTACTCGTCGGTGCAAGTATACTATCAACATGAACAGGGCCCGTATCGTGGGACGCGGCTAGTTTTAATTTTCCATCCATAGGCATGCAGTAGTGCCATAATAGGCTGACGAAGATGATTTATTATTTTAGATGGAAAGCGGCAGCCGCTTCGGTTCATCGCTCGGTCTGGCGAATCGTCGGATCGAGCGGCCGCGGCATTTGCCCGCTCGCTCGCTGTCATCCCAGCAGCTAGGGCCCACCGCTGGCGGGTCACCGTCGGCCCGCCGCGTGAGGCAGCTGCTGGAGCTCGGATCTAGGTTCAACTGCCCCAACCCGAGCCCCGTACCGACGCCCAGTTCGAGACATCAGCGGCATCTGGACATCAATCCTAATGGTAAGGCACAGCGAATCGTCCAATCAAGCGGTCGCGGCACTTGCCCGCTCGCTCTCTGTCATCCCAGCAGCTAGGGCCCACCGCTGGCGGGTCGCCATTGGCCCACCGCGTGAGAAAACTGCTGGAGCTTGGGTCCAGGTTCAGCAGCCCCAACCCGAGCCCCGTACCGACGCTCAGTTCGAGACATCAGCGGCATCCGGACATCAATCCTAATGGTAAGACACAGCGAATCGTCGGATCGAGCGGTCGCGGTACTTATCTGCTTGCTCGCTGTCTTCTCAGCAGCTAGGGCCCACCGCTGGCAGGTCGGCGTCGGCATACCGTGTGAGGCACCTGCTGGAGCTCGGGTCCAGAATTTTCTGGTAGGTGAATATACCAAATATAAAAACTTTCGAGTAAGTGTTAAAGACTTTAAGACATCCAGACCTTTTTTGTAAAAATGTGGTTTAATTAGAATCTAAAAGGCAATCCACTTTAAAAAGTAGCAAGGAAAGTTTTAAAATGTCTTTTGAAACAATTTCTGCAATTTATGTAACATCATAGTTAGATTGTGGTAAGATCCAGTGTTTTTGGGGGTTGAGCTTTATTTAAAATATAAAGTTTTCGTGTTTTTTATTTAACATAAGATCATACAGATCTTTTGAAATAATTGACAAATTGTTTACAATTTAAAAAGTTGTGTATTTCTGCTACAACATAGAGATATTGTTTCAGAGTTCCTAAAGTATAAAGTGGAGAAGCCGAGCGTGGGCGGACTTTCCGCTAGCATGACGGGTCTGTCCCGTCTATCGGGTGGGGTCTCCGGGATGCTGTGGGTGCATCTACTGGCGGGGCGGGGGCTGCGGCCGGCGCCTTCAGGGTCGTCCCCAGGGTCGCCGCCGTCGGGTCCACTGGCGCCAGTCCAGGCGCCGGTCGCGCCTCGTGACTTGTACTGCGTGCTGGAGTGCGACCGGGTGCATAAGGCTCGCACTGTGGTGAGTTGTTTTGATCTTATATTCAACATTTTCAACATTTAAATTCATAGGCATCGTATAAAAAATATTTGGCCTCTCAGAGGTAAGCAAGCCAGACATATCATTGGTGAGTTAGCATCGTAGGTCGCTGTTTCTGAAGTCAGGGTGTAAATATAGACTCTTATTCTGTTTATTTTAAGTTACGCTTTTAATTGGAACTTGTCACCAATCATTTACTTAGAGATTGGTACTATCATTTAGTATCATCGAGTGTGAAAGGCCAACGTTGGGCTGTGATTCTCTGATAAGTAAATCCATCATCAGACATGCCCAGTAAGGCTAACTTTAACTGAATTTGTTGATGGATTTCCCATCTGTCTACAAACAGGTTCGAACCGGTGAGTTGCAGTTCGATTGGGACGAATCGTTTGAGCTGGAGCTTGTGGACAACAGACAGCTAGATGTGCTAGTCTACTCCTGGGACCCACAGCATCGGCACAAGCTCTGCTACCGAGGAGCGGTTACCTTACCCGACTTGCTGTCTCGTTCGCCATCGCATCAACTTGCTATCAAGGTATTCTTCTATCAGAGAATTATCAAAAGTTCATCTAAAACTGACTCGTTATGATAAATCAAGAAGTTGAGCTTAAGATTTTAAGAAATATGCGTTGTTCAGTAATTTTTAAGCCAGACAGGTTAAATAATCACTTTAGTGATATTGACTGCTAACTCTATCTTCATTCTCATTGTAAATCTTGCACGCTTGCTAAGTAAAGCAAGCATGCAAATCATAAAAAACACTAGTACAAAGGCCGCAACCAAATCGATATTAATAGATTCCTAGATAGTAGTGTATAGCGAAAAATGTTGAATAGTGTTTTGTTTTAATTTTTGTAGTATCATATACATGGTAATCATTGACGATTCGTGATAGCGGCAGCAACTTGTACTTGTACGACCCTTAAAATTTCAATAGATGGAACCTCGCGGCACATTATACGTACGCGTTCGCCACACGGAGCCCCACGAGTTGTTCCGACGGCGTCCGGCGCCCAGTCGGATGTCTTCGCAGCCACTGTTCGGCGCCGAGCTCGAAGCGATTGTAGCGAGAGAAGTGCGTCCGTCGCACGCGCCGCCCGTGCCAATGATAGTGCGCCGCTGTGTAGAAGAGATAGAGAGGAGAGGGCTGGACATCATCGGTGAGTTACAATATATCAGGGGTATACAATCAAAGTTGGTAAAGTCCACAAAATTTTAAAAGTGAAATTTAAATTACAACACTTTATATTTTATACTAGCTGACCCAGCGAACTTCGTACCGCCCTAAAAAAATAGAGGTTGTCCAGCGGACAAAATTGTGAATCTAAACCATTCTCAGATCAACTTGAACACACACAAAAAATTTCATCAAAATCGGTCCAGTCGTTTAAGAGAAGTTCAGTGACATACACACTCACAGAAGAATTATATATATAAAGATTTATCCCGTAGAATAATTTTATACAAATTCTAGAAATTTCGAAATTCGAATGCATGTTCATCTTAACATGCATTTTTTGTTTGCCTATGCATAATTTACTGAACTTCCATAGTTGTTAACCGTAAGCGTTTATATAAAGCACTTAAAAATATTCTCGGATAATAGCATTATTTTAAATACAAAATGGTATTAAACAATAATGACCTAATAAAATACGCGAACGATTATCTAACAGGTCTGTACCGGCTGTGCGGTTCGGCGAGTAAAAAGCGGATACTGCGAGAAGCTTTTGAGAGGAACGCACGAGGAGTAGAACTGACTCCGGATTCGGTGCCTGACATCAACGTGATCACCGGACTGCTGAAAGACTACTTGAGGGAGCTGCCACAACCGCTGTTCAGTCGTTGTCTGTACCAGATGACGTTGGATGCTCTGGGTAAGTGACACTGCTGGTCTTTGATTTGTTCTACAGAAACGCGCCATAGGTTGTGTTTACATTTGACTATTCGAAGAAAATGCCAGGACCGCTATTCAGAGTTGTCGTCATTATCTCGATGACGAGATGATGTTAATTGTTCTGGGGCAATGACGCTACTGATCATTAATTTGTACTGCGAGCAGTGTTTCAAAGGTTCTGGTTACCATCTGACTCCATGCCCGACATTAACGTGATAACGGGGCTGCTGACTGACTACCTGAGGAAAATACCACAGTCGCTATTTAGCCGTTGTCTGTTCCAGATGAAGTTGCTTGCTTTGAGTAGGTAGAGCTGCTGGTCTTTGATTTGTTCTACAGAAACGCATAAGAAGTTATGCTTAGGATCTGACTCCATGCTCAGTAGCAACGTTAAGTATATTGAGGTTGCTGAAAGACTACCCCAGAGAGCAGCTTGAGTTGCTTTTCAGACTTTGGATGCTATGGATAAGTGACGTTGCTGGTCTTTGATTTGGATTACATGAAGGAAGTGCCACACATGCTAAAGTGGGTAAATGATGCTGATCATTTTGAATTGTTCATATCAAATTATGGTAGCGCCGACACCGTGCCTGACAGCAACAGGAAAATTATTTACGGTCACTTTTTTGGTGAAATCTAGGACGCTAACTGTAGTCATCGGAACAAACCATTTTTATAATGAGTACCTACAGCCAAGCGAAAACTAAATTTCCTGTCCGCGTCTGTACTGCATCGTATAACCAGAATCTATACAAGACATGGGTTTCTGACTAACTCGTCTTATTATAGATTTATCATTCTATTATCCCATCTTGTTTTCCGTCTAAATTGTGGTCAAGACCAAATCAATAACTTTGAAATAATTAAAAATAGAAAGTTGACATTTAAATTTCGTGTTCTTTCTAGGAGTTTGTCTGCCAGACGACCGAGAAGGCAACGCACGTCTAATGGCCTCCATAGTAGAATGCCTGCCTCGCGCCGCACGCGCCACCCTCGTCTTCCTTCTAGACCACTTAGCCTTAGTGGTCGCTGCCCAGGACCGCAACAAAATGTCGCCGCAACATCTCGCCGTCGCGTTAGCACCACCGCTGATGTTGCATTCGCAACCGCCGACCGATTTGGACTACCAAAGGCCGATACATGTACTGCAGTGCTTACTGCAAATTTGGCCCGCCCCTAAGCGTTCAGGTAATGTCATCTCTCATCATGTATGTCGTACGCTTAGTATATTATTTAAGGTTTAAGCATAATGTTGGGAGCGGCTGTCTTGGGATATCTTCAACTTTATGAAAACTGCAACCAAAGAACACAGTACCTACTATAATTTTTAAATCTCTCCAAGTCAGGTTGTCAGATGTTCATGCTTTGGAGGTCGTTGCAGATTACATTTGTGGAAATCTGTGATATCGCAAGGGTCTTACGGCTATGGTTACTACCACGTCATTATTATTACCTTGTATTATGCTTTTTCTTCTATCATACAGAACTTTAACCAATCAAAACATTACACAATCCGAAAACGGCCCTTTTCTTGTAAATAAAAAATTGCTTTACATACAAAATATACCAGTTAAATAATTCATACTTTACCTTATAAAATAAATTCATACACAATAATTCTATTTAATCATTACAATCTAAACTAAAACTTTAATGCTAAAAATCTAAACTGCTATTTATATCAATATCATTCAGATATACTGTAGTTTTTAGATCAGTAGCGCAGTAGTAGAACAGCGTAGAGAAAGAGTTGATGTTTATAATGGCTAAGCGGTACCTTAACGCATGTATGTTTGTAGACAGTTCGGCGCGGCGAGCCAGCAATCGGGCCGCGTGGAAGCAAAGTCAGTGCGTCGCCAGCGGCCTCAGCCACCCTCCCCCAAGGTAAACACAATTCGACAGTGGAATAATCGCTTAAATGACACTTTAGTAACTTTACAGAAACGAGGATCAAAGGTTTCTTTTTTACAAAAAAATCATAACTTATTGTAAATGAAAAGTAGCGCCATAAAAATAAAAACATACATATTCATATGATATAATATTTTCTAAATATCCCCCTATTAAAAAGGTACATAGTGCCTTTACGATTTGGCGGAATAATAAAAATCTTCAAAAAATTTAGTTGCTTACCTCGTCTGATTGAGGATTTGGGCTTCCGCTTCTTTTTTCTACAAAATCTAGCTTTATTATCCGACTACAAAAAGGAAGTATTTCTCAATTCGTAATTTTTTTTTTGTTTATTTCTTAATTTGGCGTTGTAGCTAGTAGGCTACGTAGGTATAATCATATAGACTAGCCGGCTGGCTTTCCCAATGAATGAAATAGGGATTTTTTATGACTTCATACTTCATGAAGCTTAAGTTTGACATACTGTGATAGTTGCACAATGCTGTTCATTTTGCAACTGTCACAGTATGTCAAACTTAGTTTCAGACTGTTTATCGATTAAATGCAAAAACCTTACATAATTATTCTTATAAGTAAATCTAGACGTTCAGTCACAAATGTGTATTTAATTTTTACGTTCAGGCCGAGTTCCGCCCTCAGTCAGTCCATATCGGCCTCAAGTGGCAGCATTAGCAGCATCTCCGCCGCCAGCTCTCTCGGCTCGGCCCGGGCCAGACCGCTCGCCGCCCGCACATGTGAGTATGGACCATAAATATCGTGTCTTATGATGTCTTCATTCAGGGCTGGATTTAAGGTAGGACAGGATGTAACCTAAGAGACAGGCGGGTCCCCTTCGACGGGTCACAAAACCAGGGGGGAGGGAGGGTACAAATAATAAGCGGTCCCGTCCAGATTTAGAAGCCTCCAGTCCTTCGTTGCCCCAGGGCCCACACCTCTTAATCCGGCAATTATTTCACAAGAAAAAACAAATCCTGAAGTAGCTGTCGTAGTGAGCAATTTCAGTTTTTTTTATTTTTTTATTAAAATGCTTAGGTACATTTTTATATGTTAAAGATACAGATAATGCACAACAACGGAAAAATTACTAAAAATACGTTTTTTATTACAAAATATTTTTATTGCAAAAGAATAATAACGTAGAGGATAACAATATTTACCATTCGTAGTAAAGCTGAAGTGACTTCTATTAAATAATGAGTCTTCATTCGTGCATCGATGGAGTTTGAAACTGAACAGTTTACAGCTGCTTTATAAGATGTATGTATCGTTCGTGTAGGTTCTCTCATCAGTCAGGGGCGGCCCATATCGTCCGCAGTCGCCTCTCCGCGGGCCTCTGCCCGCTCCACCTCGCTCCCGTCAAGTGACGGTGTCCTCGCCCGGCTCGCCCAGCAGTAGCTCGGGCAGCCACAGCCCCGCCGACACCATCAAGCACACCGGCTCCGTGTCCTCCATCCTGCGCCAGCCGGACCGGGCGGCGTCGCCCCGGACCGCCTCGCGGAACGGCTCCCCGAGACATTCACCGCGACATTCTCCGCGACACTCACCGCGAGACTCGCCGCGTTCTCACACGCCGCGCGATTCCACACCGCGTGAAAGCTCCACTCCTCGCGAGATGACACCGCGCGACTCCAGCCCGCGAGAACTAACTCCGCGTGACTCGCCACGAACAGCTATACCAGGCACTTCAGCAGGATTAGCGGTCACTCTCAACTCCTCGGGAGCTCTCAGCCCGCGCTACAGCTCCACTAACCCGTTCCTGCAGCAGTACGACGCGGAGGAAGAGGCGGAGGCGTGGCGCGCCGCCGACATATTCTCCTCGCCCTCCACGCACACATAGTGCTCATAGCGAATTGAGATTTTCTAGTCAATTTTTTTAATCGAATCGAAAGAGTGCTACGATTCCGCTGTATATTATGTTGTTTACGACGAGCGTGGTGCGCGCTCGTGTAATTGTTATATATAGAGCGAGTTATGATGTATATTATTGTGTGAATGTATACCTTGCTGACGCGCGAGGCGCACGCCTCGCCGCCCGCCCGGGGATCCCCCTGTAGCCACAATAGTGTTTATGGATATTGTATTGTACATTGTATATAATATACTTATAGTAGGTACGCTCCAGTTTTGTACCGTCGGGGGAACACGGCGGGCGGCCGCGGCGCTACACACATCATCCCACATATCAGAGACTTGTGGACGCTATCGACACCTAACAGGACTGATTTCTATATAAATGTTGAGCATACATTCCGATCTTCATTCTGAACTGACTTTAAGGTAGGTGTAAGATGTTTTTGTTCCCATGTCAAACAATCAAATTGTTTAGTTACGTTGTTGGCTCTCTTAGAATCCTTTTCATTGATACCTAGTTATTGATGGTGACAATAATGTAATTATGTACCTTTTTAATGCTAGTCAATTTAATTTTACTCTAGCAAAATGGTTAAAGATATAGAGAAAAATCTTGAAATCGGTATGAGGATAGCAATCCGAAATCGGAGACAATGATCAATGTTACAAAATTTCATATAACTTATACTCCATAATCGATTAAAACGGTGCGTGTCGGCAGTGAACTCAAGTCAGTAGCTCGAATAGGGAGAGTGTATCATAGATCAGACGTAGGGACTGTCTTGAGACTGAGACCATATCAGCGTAGCTCGTAGGCACTCGCAGGGATCCGGCGTAGAACGAGCGATTGCGTCTCTCTAACAAAAGTTAACACAAAAACTGTGACCGCAGACACGTGGCAATGTTGCTATTCTAAACGCTGACACAAAGTTTGAATATGAGCAATAAACCGTAAAATTACATGGCAAAAGTATAGTCTTCCCATCACATATTTTATTTATTGTATGGGATTGAAAAGCTTACAAAATGTCATTTTGAATTGTAGGTTATTGCTTATTTTAAAAGTTTAATGAAGTTATCGATAGTGTTGAAATGAATTAAAAGATTGCGACTTGTCTCCGGCACCTGTTATAACGAACATTTAAAATATTCTAAATAATCCTTGTTCATTAATAACTTATTAAATTATATTACTATATATAAAATTAAATTTAAAAAAATAGTGTTAGTGAAGGCATTTTTACGAGTCGCTAATTCTATGAAGGAATGGATGTTTTATTGTTTAGATCGGTCGCAATCTCAAGATCAGAGGTGATGTGTTATGGTTTCGGTAAAGGAATATTTAATTTTGGCAGTCTCATTGAATATTAATTAAAATGTAATCTGTATATCGATTAGTAAACCTATTGCTTTAATGAAATTGGTAAATTCTTAAGGTTCATAATAGGCTCAAATGTATTTCTTGAGATTGACCAAAAGTAGCACTCAATTTTCAAATATTTATACATAATATTTAGAGTCCACATCGACCTCCGAAATCGGAATACACCACCTAAGTTCTTAAACTAGCGTCTGCTAGACATATAAGAGTGGGTGGAATCGACCAATGACAGCACTGATCCTACATTCACTGCCATGATTGGTCCATTTATTATAGATAATAATATGATAATAATTGTACACTTGTTTATATGTCTGTCGGAGGCTACGCGGTTACCACAATGCTTTTGAGCGACACTTCAAGGCAAAATTTAGTTGTTTAAATGTCTAACTGTTTATAGATTTGCACAAATGACACGACTGATATGGGACACAAAACCTTTTTGATACTTTTACTTTTGTAATGTTCCACGTTTTTATGACTAGGAATTATGTTGGGATACCTCGCCTATAAATAAAAGTAACTCTGAAAACAAATATTTGTTCACAAATTTCATCTCCTATTTGTGTTTGTCGAGATTTTGATGAAATTTGTAAATAGGTATTGGAGCAAAGTTTTCTTTTAAGGGTGTTGCGTTTAATAGCCAACAGCATGTCAGGTTACCAAAAATATCAAGTATTCTTAGTGGATTTCATTTTTTAGTCTAGAAGTGAAGAGTTATAAATCTGTTTTAAATTTGATAGGCGTAGCGAATTTCTAGTGGAGGACCTTCACCTTACAGAAGACGAAAGTAAAATAAAATTACTTTTTGGTGGTGTACTGTTGGTATGTTTTCAGTCAAGGTATTATAGATCGTTTTTACGCTGGCAAGATAGAGATAGCTGAAGGGGCAAATTTTCCTAAGCATTAATTTAAGGAACTTATCAATATTATTTTCCTGACGTACTGTTGATTGTACATTTTCGTGATACCTTTCTAAGGAGATTTGTAAGCCTGACTTGATTACTATTTTTGGGATAGATAATATAAGATCGAATTTTCTCAACAATGTTTATAGAAATCACGGTATTCTAAGTCTTTAGAATACTTGTATACATGTCTTTATTTCGATAAACATTGAGAAGAAATCAGTCGAGGCCATGATAATAAATACATTTGCATTATGAAAAGCCTTCTTATTGCTATTCTATAAAGGCGATGCTATGTATAACGGTGACCTTGATGTAGGCTAGATTGGATCACTATCCCGAGATAGTAATTAAATTTAAGACAATATAGTGTTATTGCGGTTGAGAGGATGGTCCTTTGTTTGTTCGATGTAATTATTGACGCTAACTATAAATATGACTTTTGAAATACTCATCCTGCAATCACAAAACATTGTTTTGAGTATTTTTTATCCTGACATCAAGAACGTTGAGCGGGTTTATATTGTTGTAAGGTAGGTAATTAAGTTTCAATGACGTTGTTTCTCTGAAAATGTTTTCTTTTACGGCTAAATTCTAATATTTCCAGTTTTTTATGTATATATTTATTATGATACGATGATGATATAGATCTTGCGAAAAAAGTTAATAATGAATAACAATAAAAGGTATTTAGTGAAATAAATATCTATTGCATTAAATTAAAAAAATATTCGTGTATATTATGAAACAATTTCCGTTTTAGTTACAAATCTACAAAAATGTCATTTACGTAATCAAAGTAAAAGTAGGAAACGTTGAAACCCAAAGATTTTAAGACATAGTCCATTAAATTTACCCACACCTTTTACGAAGTTCTACACTTTGATCTTAGCCAAAAGGCCGAGAATAAAAACATTTTAAATTTGGGTCAAATGGGGACAGTGTAACATAAGGCATATCTCTGCCCTTTTTTATTTGTTTATGGTCGGTCTTGACGTGATTTATCATTTTATATTCCGTCACCTTTTTTTCTGTGGCTGTTTCCGCCATATTGTGAAGTTGTAATCAGAATGCCGGGTATAATATAAAGATATTATTTTTGTTACTCTGTGCCCCTTGTTATACTGTTGCACACTTGTCCCTATTTTCAAAAGTTGACTTATGAAATTATCTAACTAGTTTTATTTGATTTAAGTTTAAGAAATAACGTTTCAGTGTATTTAGTTTTTGACTAAGGGCCATCCTTTCTATCCCGATTGCTTGAAGTATCGCTCGACAGTGTAGCCGGCTCGGCGGCATCGGCAGTAGTGTGTAGTGACTACGGCGCACAGCTTCAGTTGGCTTCTTGGGGCACTAACTGTGAGAGAACCACTCATGTTTTACAGTTGTTTCCTAGGATATTTTCAGTAGGGGCAGGCAGCGTAAACAGCTACTAAGATTCTTGCCGCAGGGGCAGTCTAGGGTGTAAGAGTGGGGATGACCCATAGTTTCCTCCTCAATTGTGATGTGTCTAGACAAGCAGGGGCAATTTTCTACATTTGATTAAGTAAGCAATTAAGGGTTGTGTCCGCTCTTACGACCTAGATTGCCCCTGCGGCAGAAATATAAGTAGCTAGCTTTAATTTTCACTAGCTATATGAAATTTTGACCATGTGTAAAGTCATAAAATAATATTCTTTTATTTTGGACCTAGTAGTGCTTTTAGTACCCTATTTAATATAAACACCGAATTAGAAGATCCTGAAAGAAGTTATATTAAATGGGCCTAATTTATTAACTAGGTTGAAAAGTCGAGACTGTTAATATATAAAAATATAGTTAACAAGAAAACTATTAGTGGTCATTGTAGGTTAATAAGTTAACTTCACGAATTAATTGGTAAGTTGGGTTATTGGGTTTATAATAGTAGAATATCGTGTTCAAATAATAAGAAATTATTCCTAATACGTTGATCATGCCATCAAAAGTTGTATGGCAAATATTCAAATAGCACGGAATAGATAAAAAGTGTACCTATAGATTCCTTTATTGCGGTAAAAGTTTTTTTATCGCAATGGTTACTAAATGAGTATGAAAGAATATGTTTTTAACCTTTTTTGGTAAACATATTAATCTTAGTTTGTCAAAAGAGTTTTGTTTAAAAGTAAAGGAAGTTTGAAAATTAATATCATTGATAAGTTTTTATAATTAGATAGAAGTTGTTTGTTATGATTCAAAAGGACATTGCCTGCTCCTATCTGACAAATTCCTTTGTTGTAAATCTTGTCTAATGTTTCTAATATATACTTACAAGATACTTTAGAATTCATGTTGTAAATGACTGGAATTTTATTATTTTATTCTCTTTTACTAAATATATATATAAAAATAATTGTATAATACTGACTTTTTGTACAGTCTGTGCAATTCTGTTGTATTTATACAATCGAAGGTCGGTCGTTTACTATAGCATCATGGAATATACTATTTTATATTAGAAATGCGCTATTGTTTAACAATTATATTTTTTCTATGGTACATTTTCAAATAGTTTGTATGATATGTATACGCAATCATTAAAAAGCTATCTTAACATTCATTAGAAATTAAAAAAGAGATTTATCTTCACTGGGTCAAGCAAGAAAAAAAAAACAAACCATAAATTGAATTTCATAACTTTTGTGTAAATATTATATGATAGATAGTTCTAAAGTGGATGTATGTAGATCATTGTTATATTGACGAATTTATTTACTTGTATCTGGATAAGTTGTTCGGCCGACCTGACAGAGAATATGAGTTGATTGCGCCGCGTGTGTTGGCCACACAGGGAGCCCCCTTATCTGCGCACGCCTATCGGGATATTTCCATCTCCTTTCAACTCATAGAAGCATCATAATCTAGACTGAGAAAGCTTGTATTGTATCTTTTCGTCCTCATACTTTAGAATAAGAGACTTCTATGACAAGGAAAAGACGAAAGAGGTGAAAATATGTCGCAAAACGCCCAATGATGCGAGGGCTCCCACAGTAGAGTAGGGAGACATTTATGGAATTTGTTAATTTATAAAGACTATAGAATTTATGAAGTGTAGTTAATGTGTTAATGTTAGATTCTACCGAGTGCCGCCTCTCAGAGTTACTGCCGCTGTATGTTTGCGTTGCGGGGCTCTCGGCCCACGATAATATCAGTATTTCGAAAAATTGGTAATGTAGCGTTACATACGTGTACCTACTAACAGTAAACGCCGCCCGTATCTGTACCGGGTGGCTGGAACACAGACAAAATAAATAATACGACGTTATGGTGTTATGTTTCATTCCGAACTCCCAATTTATTTCGTTTATCAAAGTGTTTTGGCTTCCGCTGCCTGAAAAGGGAGCACGGAGCGGACGCCCGCTCCGTATGCTGTTTCATGTCATTTCATAGAACAGCTCTGCGTGAGGCGGGCGATGGGGCACGCTCGATTGGCTCTTTTGATCTTTTGTGCTCTTGTCTGCGTCGTCTTTTTGCAAGGTAGTAAGTATTATCAACATAAATAATCCATTCACTCGCGCGATCGGTATCGGTATTGGTAGGGATTGGATGATTCAGAAAAGCTTTTTAAATTTGTTTTTTTTAAGCATTTAACTGCTAGATGTTTAAATCTAAATAAAAGTTTTCTAGAAAAAAAACCACGCGGTCCCGTCTGCTGACTGGAATTTTGTCTAGTAAACTTTTCTTTAGATTTAAGCGTTATAAGTCCATTTGAATAAAGTACAAATTCATTTCAAGCGGGAGTTTTTCGCGACTCCCGCTACGCGTTGAATTTGTCCATGACGGAGCACGGAGCAGATAGACGACCACTCTGTGCTCCCGCTTAAGCAGCGCACGACCTAAGGCAGCAGAGGCTCTTAACCCAAGCACTCCCGAAATATTTTGTCGTGTCTGATTGTGATATTTTTTTATATGAGGTTTAAAATCTGTCAAATAACATGGAAAATTATTATTATTATTTAAAAGATTTGATTCATAGAGTAAGTCGATAAAGCACTTTATTCTCAAATAACATGAATAAAAATAATTAACGTAATATTCTATTTTGAACGCGAATATGTACACAAATTGTGCAGATTTTATATAAGAGGCTTGAAACGATTTTATTCGTATAAACAAACTTTTTCTGAATTAGCAGTGACCGCGTATTCACGTTCAATTAGGACGAGGTTAGAGACTTTCTGCTTCATCTTGTCATCTTTAAATTTTATCAGGTAGTTCTCACTATTTCTATTACCCATTGCAATGGCAATAATGACAACAGCACTTTTTTTTTTAAATTACTCTCCCTGTTCTCATTGAATTACAAAACGACAAATGATAACAGAGAGTCTCACGTCCTACAAAATGTCTCATTATTCCCACTTGAGCGTTTTTAATAACCTCGGGTGTAAAATAAAAAAAAAAACGAATTTATTACAATCGGTAGACATTTTGCTGTAGAACGTTTTTTCTATATATTTTGATATTTTTGTACACCGAGAATTTTGAGTTACCTAAGAAACTTTACTAGCTAATTCAGACAACAATTTAGGTAATATTTACGAAAAAAAAAACACTTTTAATTATTATTTTCGATAAATGTTAAAGCACTAATTGTGCAATTAAAGATATATTAACCAATTGCTCCGTTTTAGGATATTTTGTAAATTATTTAAATCAAAATTTGTATAGGCTGTATCAGGCTGCAGTACGTTTACTGTTTATAGGTAACTGTTCGCAGTATTTTTATTTACACGATTTTTAAGTTTCTCGGGTAACTCAAAAATTCACAGTGTACAAATCTTTATATATATAATTCTTCTGTGAGTGTGTATGTCACTGAACTTCTCTTAAACGACTGGACCGATTTTGATGAAATTTTTTGTGTGTGTTCAAGGGGATCTGAGAATGGTTTAGATTCACAATTTTGTCCGCTGGACAATGTTTTTTTAATTTTTTTTTTTTATGGCGGTACGAAGTTCGCTGGGTCAGTTAGTATTTCTATAATATCACAAAAATAATTGAAATTATAGTTCTAGTCACTACCATATATACAATGTGTCAATAGATATCAAAAACAATATAAAGAGGTCATAACCATTTCATAACATCGAGTTGAGAATTTATATTACCTGCATATAATAAAATGGTACGATAGTCAAAACTGTACATTGAATATTTTTTTAAATGAATATTTGGGGTGTGATCTTCAATCGATACCTAAGCCAAAAATATAGTTTTTAGAATTTTTGTATGTTTGTCTCTGTGTATGTCCGGGATAAATTCAAAAAGTACTGCATGGATTTACTTCTTTGGAATGAATATTATTAAGAAGTTGGGTCAACACACAGGCTACATATTATCACGCTATTACCTACGGGGAACAAGCATTGAACAGGGGTCAAAAAGTATGTGCAGAAAACTAACTCCATGCGTACGAAGTCGCGGGCGGCCGCTAATTATTGAAATAAACAAGCGTCTTCTTGGTCGCGAATAGCTGCAGTTTAAAAACGCAACTGTAATTGTAACATGACTATTACCGTCAAGCTCAACGGCAATAGTGAGACCCACCCATTTTATCGCCTTTGCACCAATGTGAAACTGTGTGCATTTAGAGATAATGAAAAGAAAAGTTTTAGTAAATAAATCAGATTATAAGCTTGATTAGACTTACCCTGTGAAGCTTGCGTGGTTTTGAAAATTCAAAAAATACCTAGGATAGGAAAAAAACTAAAGAAAACTAACGGTAGGCCAACGTTTTTGAGAATCCCACAGGAAGGGCCAATTTTTTTTTCGGGGAAATAGTCTTCTTTGTCTCACTCTAGATAATACATTTATCTGTGTGCAAGCTTTTATCTAAATCCCAGCAGCATTTCATCGACTAACAAATTTTGAATAATACACAAACTCATAAATTAATAAGGGGAACAGACCGCATATTATTTATTTTGCAACGACATTTGAAAATGGAACATTGTCTCTCGAATTCATTTGTCACTTTTATTTTTCGATATCTAACTGTTGTCTTCCCTCATGACGCCCTTGGGGAGACATCAGGACTTACTTTTAAAATTATATATCTATTAGTACAGTAAATCTGTAGGTTCATCATCATCATCATCAGCCTATTAATGTCCCCACTGCTGGGGCACAGGCTTCCCTATGGATGGAATAGAGAGATTGGGCCATGACCCACCACGCGGGCCCAGTGCGGGTTGGTGGGTGCTAACGATTGCAGATGCAGCGGGGACCAACGGCTTAACGTGCCTTCCGAAGCACGGAGGAGCTCGAGATAGTAAATTATGGTCACCCATCCAATGACCGACCACTGCGAAAGTTGCTTAAATTCAACGATCGCTGCGGAACGCGCTAACCACTTGCGCCATCGAGCTCCTCCTCCCTTTAGGTTTTTTTTTTCACCATTCAATCTGTAGGTTGAATGGTGAAAAAAAAAAACCTAAAGGGTAAGTCTTGTTTTTTCTGTTGCCAAATGACATCAGTAAGCCACCTTGGCGATGGGCATGTTCAACTCGTAGGCGTTTTTTAAAAAACTCAAAAAAACCGTCAAAAATTTTTTGAAACGCATTTTTCTTGTGTTTGCATTTTAGAAACTTTTTTTTCGACCATAATTGTAGAGGGCGTTGAGTACTATAATTTAATTTCAATTTTCAATCATGAAAAAAAATAAAAAAAAAATTTTTTTTTCATGTTTTACTATTTTTTTTGTTTTTCAATCATGCAAAAAAACAAAAAATAGTAAAACGTACATTGAAATGTGCACTGCAAATGTGTACTTGAACTGCCCAAAACCGCTCTATTGGATTTTTCATACCTGCGCAATTTATAACTTGAAAACGGTAAGTAATACAAAAAAATTGTTTATACAAAAGTTGTTGGTAATTATGTACGAAACAACTTTCCGATTTAAAGTTTTCCATTAAAATGATATTTTCAGGGTGAAAAAGTGAAAAAACATTTTTTCTGAGACTTTAGCGCCACCTACAATGCGCATTTTTTGTTGTACGAGATTGCAACAATGACATAAATTGTAGTACTCAACGTCCTCTACAATTATGGTCGAAAAAAAAGTTTCTAAAATGCATACAAAACAAGAAAAATGCGTTTCAAAAATTTTTTGAATTTTTTTTGAGTTTTTCAAAAAACGCCTACGAGTTGAACATGCCCATCGCCAAGGTGGCTTACTGACGTCATTTGGCAACAGAAAAAACAAGACTTAGCCTTTAGGTTTTTTTTTCACTGAAACGATTTTTTTTCGACAGATTGACTGTACTATATGTAAGTGATCGTGTATCCGCTATCCTAGCTCTGTCATATTAAGCCATACTGGCCACTTGAAAATAAATAAGTAAATATCGCTTATTTTTTTGTGTATCCTTGGCGTATCGCTTATTTTTTCCCTTTGGTGTACAGTAGAAAATTAAATTTAACTGCTGTATCCTTGGCCAGAAAACCATACCAATTACTAGATCTATTTTTTTGAAAAAAAACTAGCTGATCCGGCGAACTTAAAAAGTACCAGAAATGTTACACTTTACGTACTTAATAAAAAAAAATGGGTGCGTGTACTTATGTAGGCGCGTGAGAAGTTATCCTTCTTTGGCATCGTTTAAAATTAGTTTTTAATTGCATGCAAATAATTAATTACACTAAATTAATAAAAAGTCTGGAAAAGGACACAGTCAATAAAGTTCAGTTTTAATTTGAAAAAATAAATAAATAATCAAAATATTCAATTAAAATCGCTACTGAATATAATTTATTAGAACATATGTGATTTGCACTTGTATGAAACTCAAACACGTATTCCGAATATACAAACTAGAAACATGTGGATAAATATTATAAATATGAATACCTATAACTGTTACTTTATTACAATAATAACATAAAAGAAACATTGAAAAATAAAGATGTGGTTTTTGTTTCTACTACACCAATGGTCAAGAGATGGCGCTGTAGTCTCCTGAATCGCGCTTTGGTTCCGTTGTTCCAGATTAATAAATACTTTTGATAGGCCTTCACAATGCAGTCGTTAGTACCCACTAAATAGAGATTCTATTTCTATTTTGTTGGTAGATTTTCTTAATGTGCGGTAAACACAAAAGTAACACATGAAGTTGGTCGCTTCATAGGTTTTATGTATGAGATATAATATAATTTTCTTAGATACAGGCTTAACTTGCATTAAATGTGTATAATTTGAATCATAGCATTAAACAAAATACCTTAAAATTGGAATATAACCACGTTCTTCAATTATATTTGCATCCATATTACCTGGTAACACTGAAGTCCACAAGTGTTCGTTTCCAGAGATCTTTTATTCCACGGACAATAAAATTATGGTATGAGCTCCCCTACACGATGTTCCCGCAGTACTATAACATTGTTCCACTTCAAGAAAGGCTTAAATAGAGTGTTCCACGAAAGGAAGCGGCATGGCTGCACTGGGATTGATGATGTACATGGGCGATGGTGACCACTTAAATCTGTGCGTCTGCCTTCGAAGGCAATAAAAATGTACCAAATGATGT